TCAGTTCGTGGTTATGCTGTACTTTCGGTAATAAAATGCACTCAGTAGAAAGCCACACGCACACACAAATAGGCGCGTGATAATTGGCATTTTGTGCAGCTTTTGAAAGGCAGAGGAGAACAGGGCAAGGGATTGGTACGGTTTTTAGGTTGCGTCAAGTATTATGTGAAGCTGGTAGCTGTGAATCTGTTGCAGAGCTCTCGCCAGCTGATTAGGCAACGTGATCAGATGGCCCTTTCTGTAGTTGCACCGTTCTACCAAAATGGCTTGTACGTGAACGCGGTGTGCAAACAGCTCGTTGCTTCACAGCATAGGTTTCAAGCGCCGCCACAAATAATTATCGTTTCTTATCACGGAATTCCGCTTTCCTATCAAACAAAAGGTGATCCGTACGGTTTTCAATGCAAGCATACAACTGCACTTATACGGTGAGCTTTGCTGATGATTTAACGATTTCTTCATGTTTAAGAATGATTCTAACATTTCAGATTAGTTTACTGTTGGTGGATAGCTTCAGGATATTTTCAGGAAGAATTTAGCCTTGCCAGTATGTAATCTGCTGACTACATTCCAGTCTCGATTTGGACGCCAGGAATGGTTAAAGCCTTACACTGAGGACACCGTCATACAACTTGCCAAGTAAACCTTATTTTTAATTAACTTTTTAAATTTGAAATATATTAGTGGTTATTTTATCTAAGCGTGAGATCGCTCCGATGGGGCTTGACCGAATTGCAGCCTGCGTGCTTCTGCATTGAAACAGAATCTGCTAATTCTCCACGCTGCTCCCGCGAAGTGAAGGCACTCGAAAGCAGCCGAAGATTTAACACGTGCCAACAGTGGTAGTCTGATATCAGGGATTTTAGTGGATCCGTGTGAGAAACAATTCTGTGATGACTTTGATCTTTGGACGTGTATTAGTAACAACTCACCGTAAATTCGAATAAAAAAAAACATAGAGAAAATGTTTGTCCCACTGACCAAGCTGAATCTCGACCTCGGCACAAGAATACTGTCACTTGCCACTGCTCCATATCCACTGCATTGAAAGTAATGTGTTTGGAAAGTCTCCAGTTCTTTTCGAAAAATAAATTAGTTTTAGACAAGGCGTGAAGCGTATCATGGTAGTAGCACCTGGCTTTATGAGCGACTGCTTGGAGACAATAGAGGAACTGGAACACGAACTCGCACGCATTTTCAGGTATTCCTTCAGAATGTTTCAAAATAGTTGAGGCTTCACATTTCCCATGATCTTATATGTTGTGCAGCGCTGTATTTCAAGATTGTTTCTGACATGAAAAACATACAAAACAAAGGAAGCAGTGTTTTGGAAGCACTTCTTGGCCACATGTACTTTGATTAGCTGCAGCTCACGGCTAGTTCTCCAGTTGTAAAGGTGATAGCTTTTGCAGTTACTTTGGCCAATGCCACATCTACCTGTTTGCGGTCTTGACGTTTGTTTTGTCTGTCGAAGGGATTATCAGCTCCATAATTCTTCGCAGTAGAAGCACTTAGCAAGGCTTTAGTCGTCTCCAGATATCATTGATTTTTACTGAACTGTACCACCTGTTCTCGAACGTTGCCGCTCTTGGACCACCATGAGATATGGATTATTTGGTTCAGCTGTAGCTCATAGCCTATCCATAGATGGGGCAAAATTTGAGGAGACTTTTGCTCTGTGTTTGTGCTCCTTGTTTCGGATTCCTCAGCCAAAAATTTGAATATAATTATAACTTGAACCCGAGTAGCTACGGACTCAATTTTCATTAAAAGCTACGGACTCGACTTTCAGTTCATTAAACTTAGTGCAGAAACAGGAAAAAAAGATTTGGAATTAGTTAATCGCATTTTACCACCTGCTACCGTCATCCCATTATTGAGATTTCAAATCATTTCGGGTTGCTGTTGTCGCTGCCCGACATTAGTCATTTTGCCAGGACACATTCAAGCCTTACGCGTTGCTACTCCGGGCCTTCCGATCCTGAACTTTGTATCTTTAATAAAATCTATCACCTCGATTTATCGAGATCCCTGCTTCTACTCTTTTCTTGTAATCTGGGTTTTGTGCTGAAACCGCCGATAGGCCGTGCTCTGGTGACTTCGATGAAAGTTGATTTATGGACTGCACCGAATTCCTTACCTCGTGACGGAACTGACTTAAAGCCTGAAAAGTCCTTCAGTTCGTGATGATTTCGATTTGCTAGGGTCTTTAACGGCTGGCAGTAAAACAAATTCCTCCAGTACCATTCTTTCTCCCTTGCCGAACGAAATTTTTTGTCGTGCCGAAAGCCTACCTTGATTTTGTGTCGGTTTCCTACTTCCTAATGCTTTATAAGTCACCCTTCATTGGCGACCTATAGTTGCAGGTGCATATCGGAGGTCCAAACCATTCCATAGCGCTATCGTTCAGTCAGGTGCACTGCTTGATGCGATATGTACGGACTGAAATCAACTTGTGGAGTTTAATGACGTTCTAGTTCGCATTGCGCATTTAGGGCTCCAGAATTAAGCTGTTCATTTATTCGTAGTTTTTGTAGATCGGCCAAAACAGCACCGTTCCGCATTGCAGATACCTACCGCTTGTACTTTACTCATCTACAGTATCTGTTGTGCATCTTCAAATACCAAATCAAAAAATAATTGCGCCCTTCTCTTTTCTACGCCACTCTCTTGATTCACTTTCTTCTTAGCGCAGAAGAAAGTGTATGTTGTCGTTTTTTACATGCTAATTTAGTCCGCTTCGGCATAATTTTCCAGCCCGTAGGGATTTTTGGCGGACAAGTTATTAACTCAGAAACCAGCAAAGCTAGAAAGTTGAAGTTTTATACGCCAAAATTTTGTAGAAAGCACGGTGGTGAGGAATATGCTTACGTACCGTGTCTGAACGACAGCTCCGATGCGATCGATCTTCTCGAA